CTAATCCCAGCTCTTGGGAGGCTGTAAACAGGAGGATCACTAGGAGTCTGATCTAGTAGCGAGACCCTGAATACCCTGTAGGCCTTTCCCTAAAAAATACAAAAGAAGGAAGAAAGAAAGAAAGAAAAAAAAAAAAAAAGAAAGAAATCCATCACCTATTACATTTGGGAAGTGGAAGAGAAAGAGAACCAAGAACTCCACAGCTAACAAAACTAGCCTTAAAAAGTAAACACACACAGAAGAGACATTCCCAGATCAACACAAACACAATTTGTTTCAAGCAGACATTCCCAGATTAACACAAACACAATTTGTTTCAAGCAGACTTATCCAACAGAAAATACTAAAAAGGAATCCCAGAGGCTGAAAGGAAATGATACTGGATATTAATTTGGTTTACAGGATGATATGATGATCTCCAGAAATGGTAAATTATTTTCCAAATATCCAGAGAATTTGAAAACTCAATTATAAAACAACTTGATTAAAAAATGGCTGAAGACTAAACAAACCACTCTTACTGAGAAAGATCTACAGGTGGCACAGAAGCATATACAAGTTATTCCACCCTGTGTCTCAAGAAAATGAAAGTTTAAGCAACAACAAAGTTACAATACTATTGTCAAAATCCAATACATAGACATCCTGAACACTCTCAAGGATGTGGAATAACAGGAACTCTCATTAAACTGTGCACATGAATGCTTATAGCATCTTTATTTGTAACTGTCCAAACTTGGAAGCAACCAAGATACCCTCTCATAGGTGAATGGATAAATACAGACCACCCAATACTATTAGGCAACAGAAAGAAATTAACTGTTACACCTTAAAAAAATACAAATCTTAAATTCGTATTACTAAGTGAAAAAAGCCAATCCAAAAGGGCTACCTATTGTAGAATTCCAACTCAACTAACACTATGGAGAAGGCAAAGATAGGCTGAGAGTAAAATGATCAGTTCTAGCCAACAGTTGGGGAGGGAAGAGATGAAGAAACAAAATCTGGAATTTTTAGGACAGTGAAACTACTGTGTATGATGATAAATGATGACAAATTTTTTTTTCATAGAATAAATAACACAAAGAATGAACGCTAATAAAAAGTACAGATTTGGGTGATGCTTTGTGAATACGGTTTTGTTTGTTTGTTTTTTAAGTAAAGGGTCTACAGGTTCTCACTATGTAGACCAGACTTGGAGTGATTCTCCTGTTTACAGCCTCCCAAGAGCTGAGATTATAGGTGCGCACCACCACGCCCACTCTATTTGGCCAACCCAACACAAGTTCATCAATTTTAACACTGTACCACTGTAATGTGGAAGGCTGACGGGGAGGAGGTCACGCATGTATAGGAACATGTCCATAACTGTTCAATTGTGATGTGAGACTAAACTGCCCTTAAAAAAATAAAAGTCTTGGGCCAGGGAGATAGCTCAGTGGAAATAAGTGCTTCCCTGGCAAGCGCAAGGGCCGGAGTTCGATCCCCGATTCTGCAAAATGAATAAATAAATAAAAGTCTTTACATGAAATGTGTAAGATTGTTTAAAGTGATAATTAAATCAGTAAGTTTCTACTCTATCCAGGTACAGAGACACAGGTATCCAGGTACACACAACAGTACAAAGGAGTGTGGGGAGTGGAAGTATTCGGGAGCAAAGCTGTTGTATTTTACCTGAATAAATTCATCCATAAATTGTGGTAAGTCAAAGACATATGTAATCCTTTGATAAAGGACTAAGAAATATAGGGGTACTTTCATACTTGTCATTAATTAGTTCTAGAAGGTACAACTAGCATCAAAAACAACAACTTCCCAAAAAATTGTTTTGGCTTAAAAGGGGTAAGTCACAACACAATGAAAAGGGCACAGACAAGTTGTACCTTGCATGTAGTGTGACAAAAAATGATGAGTAGTGTGGCATGTACATGTTGAAAGGTGTCAAGTACCAAATTTGATGAGTTTCAAAGCACATCAGTCCTAAGGTATGACTGCACTAAAATAGTAAATTAAATAAATTTATCAGAAACCAGTAAAGGTGAACACAGGAACAACAACAACAACAACAAAAAAAAAAATCGTAAGACAGTAAAATGGCAGACATAAATCTATGCATAAAAGTAACACATTTCTGTTAACAGGTGTGGGGCTGGGGGTACATACTGCCATGAGGTACTTTTAAAAATATCTTGAAATGAAAGCAAAAACACTATGTATCACCTGTTAATAGAACCTGCTGTAGAAAAACTTAAAGCTTTTAACACAGAAAGGAAAAAAAATCACTGAAGCCAGGAAAAATCAAATCATACTCCAAGCAAGCAGAAGGCAGAAAAGTAACCTTAGTTAAAGTGACAGAGAAAAAAAAAGACATAAGCTATTAAAATTACGAGTGAAAGACAGGATGGTACCATAAACCCTTACTGATAACTTTACACAAACAAAACTGTAAATTTAGATGAAACAGATTCCTAGAAAGTTACAAATTACCAAGTGTATAGCTTATCTGCCTGACAAGTGCAAGATCCTGAGTTTAATTCTTGGTACACCGCCACCCCCAAAAGAAAGTTACAAATCACCAAAACTAATGAGAACAGAAATAAGAAAAAAATAAATAAATAAACAACTAACAGGCCAAGCAAGCATAGTGGCGCATACCTATAATCCCAGCATTAGGAAGGCCGAAGCAGGAGGGAGGATTGCTATAAATTCCAAGCCAACCTGAAACTTGAGTTCAAGGCCAGCCTGGACTACATAGCAAGACCGTGTCTTAAAAATAAAAAAAGAAGAAAAAAAGAAAGACCACTGACTAAAGCAGAAATAGATTTTAATCATTAATATACCTTGAAAAAAATATCTATTTCATCTTTTTCATTCCTCTGGCTGAAATAGCTATTTTTGTGGGTCTCTGAGTTAATGATCATTTGAAAGTTATTTGGCAATGCAGCCCAAAGATCAACTGGAAAATTCATGATTCTAGAACAAATGGTATGGAAAGGCTCACTTGTTACCTGTCATTGGCTTCTTCAAACTACCTATTACATTCCATTATTTATGAAGTATAAAAAAATCATGTGTGTGTATATAACTAATTGACATTGAAAAAATAAGTTATTTCAAGGAAAGGAGGCATTTCTTGGTTCAATCTAATAATACTGCCTGGTCTGGTGGTGCACACCAGACTGCAGACATAATGCAATCCCACCACTATGGGAAGCTGAGCAAGGAGGACTATAAGTTTGGGCCTCACCTGAGCAATTTAGCAACCTAACCAGACCCAATCTCAAATTTAAAAAGAGCTAGGGATATAGTTCAGTGTAAAGGCCCCAAATCTCTAGTATCCACCCCCCCATATTTGTACGTTTAATCTATCTTTATGTAACAGAAGCTTACACTATAAGGCTAAATCTTTATTTGGAAGTAAATCTTATTAAGTGGCTTAAAGTCTGAATAAAGTTCTTCTTCTGGTAAGCTGATACTAGAAAAAAAAATCTAAAAGCTATAGAGATAGTTTATTTGATAGTGCATTTTTACCTTAGAATGAAATCCCACAGAAAAACAATTTTCTGAGTGCTGATACATGCATGTGATACATACTTATGGCTAATTTGAGACGTTTCTTTTTATGTTAGCAAGTAGAAAGGGCTGAGGTCAGAGGTGGGCTGGGGCAAGGGATTACAAAATCCCACATAGAGCTCAAGTTTTATCCTACCTATGTTAGAATAATATTAGAATTAAGTAGGAAAACAGCACAATTTGGATTGAAAGGTAAAAATCATCTTGGCTGCCATGTGGAGAACAGCTACATTAGGCGGCAGTAACACAGGGGGTTAAAAGTTATGGGACTCTGACTACACTGGTGAGAACAAGGATAAACACCTTGCTTCCATCAAACTTAGATCTTCTAACAGCCTCTGGAGGTAGGTACTATTACTTTCTTTTCACAACAGTAGGTGTTACTACCTTCACATATCTTCTCAAGTCGGAGGGAGTTGAAATTACTGCCTATATTGGGACATAAGCCCTACTAATCAGGCAAAAGAACACTGGCTCTTTCATCTGTAGTAGTAAGAACAGATGAAGCTGACATAAAAAGTTATGCAGTTAAGAGGTGCCATGACTTGTTAATGGATCAGAGGTACAGAGAAAAGAAACAGAAGCATGACTCCTAGGTTTTCCTTGAGCAAGTAAGTGAATTCCATAGTCTAGTTATATAAAGACAAAATAGAAAGTAGGAAACAGGGTCCCAGGACACTGCCACATTGAAAAGCTGAACAGAGGAGGACAATGCACACCTTGCTGAGGACAATATAGGAGAGAGCACAAAAGTCAAGACACCAAGTTTTTGAGGGTTTTTTGTTGTTTTTTGTAATGTACTTAGTACAGAGTCTAAAGGGTCTCACTACATAGACTGGACTCGTAGTGATCCTCCTATTTTCAGCCTTCCATGCACTGGGATTTTCAGGCACATGCCACCACACCCAGTCTCAATCACTGTCTCAGCGTACCCCGGGGGTAAGGCTGGCATGGCATGTGGGGCATCAAACCCCCATCACTACACCTGTCTAAGCAGGCGCTTTGGTTCACTGCGCTATCTGGTCAGCCCCAGTAACTAAGTATTTTAAGGAAGAGAAAGCAACATGGAAAATGCTGTCAAGAGACTGTTTAAATGAGAACAGAAGTGTGACCATGGGATTTGGCAGAGTAGATACTTTGGTGAAGCTGGGAAGAGTGGCATCCCCTACATTAACTTTACCACTGTACTTACCTTGTCATTTTCTGCCTCATTTCTAGGCCAACAGTTCCTGGGCAGTAACTGTTTTACTTCAAACTCCCTACCTTCTAACCACAGTGTTTGCAGTAGAAATGAAATTACACACAGGCTAAGGAACAGGATGGAAATGCTAAAGTAGCTCATAGGATGTTCTGGTCTTATGACTGAGGTGGCGATCTCAGTGTGAATGACACGCACTCCTCTACCTTCCATCTCCTAACTCACGCACCGGGAGAGATCCATTCTGCGTGCTGGGCGAGTTGCTGCTCTGCTCCCCATGGGCTTGCGTACTTCCATAGAGTGTCAGGTTATGCTCACTGGTCTGGCCGGCATAGTCCTGAGTGTGTGGCACTCCATATTCCGCAGGAATTCCATTCTGTGGAGGTGGTGGGAATGGGATGGTAGTAAAAGGCTGAACCATTGCTTCAGGACTTGTTGTTGGCTCCTGGTTACCCTAGAATAAATGGGGGATACAAGAGAAGAACCGCTTTATTTAAATCAATTGTCATGTAATTTCTTTACGGGAAAAATCTTTTGAACAAGTGAACTACATACCTGATGAAAAAACAAAACCAACAACCAAACAAGACCTTCTCAACTTCTATTCCAAATGTATAAAATTTCACTAAAAAGAAAAAAACCTAAATGTAAGACTTAAATTATAAAACTTCTAAAAACAAATAGGAAAATCTTCTTGCAAATGGCAAAGAATTTTTAGGATATAAAAAAAGAGCCATTAAAAATCGAGATACTGAACTGATATAATTTAAAAACTTGCTTTTGAAACAAGAAGGATAAAAGATAAGACAAAGACTAGGAAATAAAATTCACAATATGTAACTCTTATAAAGGACATGTATTCAGAATTTATAAAATACTGTTATAGATCATAATAAAAAATAAATTTTAAAAAATGGTGCAAAAACAGGGAATAATGTCACAGGTTTATAATCCCAGCATTTGAGAGGCTGAGGCAGGAAGATTGCTCTAGGTTTCAGTCCAGTCTGGACTACAGCGTTCATTCAAGGCTGTCCCGATCTACATCGTAAGACTGTCTCAAAAGAAGGGGGAGGTTGGCTAAAGCGTTCTACAAGATATACAAATGGGCAGAATATACATGAATGGGTGGGCTCACCAGCAGTTATAAGGGACATGAAACTAAAATCAAAATGAGATATCATTTTACAACTACTAGAATATCTAAAATATAAAACTGAAACCACCAAAAGTTGAGATACACAGAACTTTCATATATTGCTTTGTGGCCATGTAAAATGCATTGTCTACCTTCCAGAAATTTTCTTCCACTTTATTTTTGTAAGTTTTTCTTTCAGAACTGGGGATTCAACTCAGGCCCTTGTGCTTGCCAGGCCAGCACTTATTCTACTGAGCCATCTCCCTGGCCCCCTACTTTTGTAAGTTAAAACATTCCTTGTATTTACCTTAAAGAAATAAAACCATGTCTCCACTAACATCTGTGTAGGAATGTTCATGGAAGCCTCATTCGTAATAGGCTCAATTGAAAATAATTATATATCAATAGGAGAATGAGTAGACAAACTGTGGTGTATTGGGAAAATAGAATGATACTCAGAACTTGAAAAATGTTGTGCTGAATGAAGAAGTTAGCTACAACATAATTCCATTCATAACTATCAGAATAGGAATAATCAATCTATGAAACAAAAGAAATGAGAACATACTTGCTTCTATTTAGGAGTGGAAAAACAATGACTGAATTTTGGTATATTGAAACATTCTAGGATGATGCAATTGTTACAAGTTTATTATGGGTGATGGTAACACAAATTTATCAAATTGTTAAAACTCATTAGAATATCTACAAATGTTATTAAGTAAACCAAACAAAATTGGGACAATAAACATCATAATAAACTATTTAGTATTAATGTCACTGTTAAAAGCCAAATGACACTACCCATCACTATTATTTTACATATAATACAAATGAATGAAAACAAAAATCACAGACCAATTATCCTTACAAATACAATGATAGGCGCTGAGGAGATACCTTGGAGTTCTAAGTGCCTGCCTGGTAAGTGCAAGGACTCAGGTTCAATCCCTGGTACCACATGGCATGCCAGCCCCGGAACCCCAGGCATGCTGTGCTGGCCCTGAAACCCGGCATGGTGGTGCGCGCCTGTAATGCCAGGGCTGGGGAGGCTGAGACAGGAGAATCACTACAAGTCCAAATTGTACACTAAGATTTTGTACCAAATTAATCAATAAAAGATCTTTAAAAAACATGATTATATACTCAGAAAATACAAATCAATAAATAACACAGCAGTCCTAATAATAAAAACAAGATTTACTATAACTATTTTTTAAATTAGCAATAACCAGTGATTCAAAAACAGTCACTGTTAATATATAAAATTGCACCAAGGATAGCAATGTGTAATCCTATGGCCATGCTTGGAATGCCTGTCATTCTGGTCTTCTAAATGTGTACTGCTTCTAATGTCATAGCAATTACTGCTATACTCTCTCTCAAGTAAATGTTTATTAAAAAAAAAAAGGTAACAAAAGAAAACAAGAGACAAGAAAAAATGTCATAGGACTGTCCTGCTACAATGTTGCATATGGTTAGATTTCCAAATTTCTGTGTAAAAATGTATAATTGTTTATTTTTCTTTCACATTTGACAGTGATTTAAAGTTTAGCATATCAATGATTGTTGTAAAATACTTGTTCCATGTTATGTCTAAGGCGTCTGATATTCAGACATATAGTGATGTTAAGCTCAACTGCCTATGTTATAGGGTAATAATATCATTAAGCTTTTCTTCTGGAGGGCTAACAATTTAAGTTTGCAGACTAAAAAACTAGAGAAAAAGAAGGGCTACAAGGATAGTCAACATTTTGGCCCTAGCCCTTCAAGGTCAGTGAAGACTCAGGACATAAGAAGACCTGTACTGTAACATCTTGTAAATCAGTGGTGTCCCAAATTTTCTGTTCAAGGAGATTATGGAGCCACAGAGGAAAGTGATTGACAATGTAGAGTGTGCCTAAGGACAGTCATCCAGTGAAAGGTGTATTAAATGTTTTAATAGGGAAATTATCAAAAAAGTCTAAAAAGTAAAGTTGGGAAAGGAGACATGCTTTGTCATACATTAAAACTTGTCATAGGCTGAGCATGGTGGCATATGCCTGTAATTGTAACACTCAGGAGGCTGAGGCAGGAGAATTGCTGTGAGTTCAAGGCCAGACTAAACTACATAGCATGACCCTGTCTCAAAACAAAACAGGCCATAAACTATTGCAACTAACAGCACATACAAAGAGATCAACAGAACAGCGTTCTAAGACAGATTCAGGTTTATATGAAAACATTTCATGCTATGTAAAAAAGTTGGGTGTTGCGGGACTGTCCTGCAGTGTTGCAGAACTGTCCTGCAGCAATGTTGTAATGGTTATATTTCTGGACTTATGTGTAAACATATATAATTATTTATTCCTATTTTTTAAATATATCTTAATTTTTAAAATTTTTTGTCATATTCTGTAGGGATTTGAAATTTAACATATCAGTACTTTATGAAAAATACCTGTTCCTTGTTATGCCTAAGATGTTTGATATTCAGACAGGTAGTGAGGTTAAGCTCAACAGCCTAGGTTATATGGTAATAACAATAAGCGTCTCTTCTGGAGGGCTAACAACCTAAGTTTGCAGACCAAAAATTAGAGTAAAAGGAGGGCCACAAGAAAGGCCAACATTTTGGCCCTAGCCTTCTAAGTTCAATCAAGACTCAGGACGTATGAGAACTTGTACTGTAACACCATGTAACTCAGTTGTGCTCCAAATTTTCTGATCAAGGAGATTATGGGGCCAAAGAGGAAAGTGATCCATGATGTACAGTGTGCCTAAGGAGAGTCACATGGAGAGAAAACATTCTCTCAGGCTTTCACAGAGAGCACATTGGCCAAGCAATGGCCGTGACTCATCCACATGACTGACACTGACAAAGGACCTACAATCTGAGGTACAGGATCTCAGGATAAATCCTGAGGGGATTTCATTGACCTTATCAGATCCAAAAGCTACAATTCTTGTTAGATAGATCTTGCTTTATGTTAGTCTTAACCATCCAGCAGAAAAGTATAAAAACGAAGTACAAGAAATAAAGCCATGTTGTTATGGTGAGCTGTAGGGGACTCAGGTCAACAACTTTTGGCATTGCCAGTGAAGTGGAAGACCCAATATTATTATGGACTACTGGACTATTTTGGAATATTTTGCTGAGTTCACACACCTATAATATTTAAATGATGGAACTAAACAAAAAAAGGGGAAACAGATGAATAACAATTTTGTATCTGTGTATTCAAAATAGTTAGGATAAATATATAACTACATTCTCTTAATTCAAGGAATAGAGGGATTTGGTCTAACAGTGTTTGTAAATAGGATATCATGTCTGCATCTTGTACAACAAATAACCACTAGGAAGGCAGTATGCAATGTGTTAATTATTGGAACTGTCCTACCAATTTGATTTGAAACTGTCTCATTGCTATTTATTTCTCAATAAAATTATGGGGAGAAAAAGTTGGGTTACCCATCACCAAAAAGAAATAACATTATCTCATCTGTCATTACCAGAAAAATTCTGAAGGAATAAAATCTAATAGAAGAACTAAAATTGTAAAATCTAAGAAAAATTAGGAACATAATAGAGGTACAGGGGACTTTCAAAACAGGACACTTTAAAATCAGACTGCAAGCAACCAAAATGATGGCTCTGTCTATGTGAGTTAAGAAGGAAAGACAAAAAAGAAAAAGAAATAGAGGAAGGGGAGAAATGAATCTAAAAATCAAAAGATAAATCAATGGTGATAAAATATTACCAACAAGATAAATGGGTTAATACCATTAATGCAAAACTGGATTATACAAATTGACAAGACACACATACACAAACCCCTCAACAGAAAAAGCAGCAAAATAACATCAAGCTTTTAGTAATAACATCATATCGGCAAAAAAATTTAAATCATTTTATTGATGTAGATATTATACTGATGGTTGTCATGCAATAAACTGTACCCATTTACAGTATAGAATTTGGTTAAATTTTGACCCATATACCCATATTCTCATCACAATTAAGATATTCAAAACATCCAAAAGTTTCCTCAGGCCCTAAAATGTATGTCCTTACTTTTAAAATAAAACTTACTTAACCATCCAGCAGAAAAGTATAAAATTAAAGTATAAAAAGTAAAGCCATATTAATATGCTAAGCTATAAAAGGCTCAAGTCAACAACTTCTGACACTGTCAGGCCTGCAGATAACCCACTACTATTATGTACTACTGGACTATATTGGATTATTTTGCTGAATTCATGCACCTACAATATTTAAATGACAATGGAATACCCATCTCTGAAAAAACTAGACAAAAAAGGGGATACAAATAAAGGAC